ATATACATATATTATGTATGTGTGTGTGTGTATGTATGTATGTATATGTTTCCCAAGCCATTTTATGCCTTTTAACATTTACTTATGTTATTTTCTCAGTTAGTAACATCTCCCTTTCCCTATCCCTCCTCTAGGAAGCCTTCTCACTCTTTGGGATAGGCACATTGCCCCATCCCTGACCCCACTTCTGAGCCCTATATAGCACCAACTGCATTCCAATAAAATCATCTATTGATACATATGTGAAGTCAAACAAGGTTAGGTTTTTAAAATATACTACTAACTTTTTAGCATGAAAGTCACTTCAGAAGAAACCTCTAGTTTTTACATATTTCTATTCATCTGAGATTAATGCTTTACTATACTTGGAAATGCTGTACCTAAAGTGCACTTTTCATGTTCCAGTATATATGGGACCATATATGCATATTATATTTCTAGGTTTCCCTTCTCTATATCATGTAACTTTACAATAAATTCTAATGCATCTAGTTCTGTACTATACTGGAGCCTCATAGTCATTTATACAAGGCAATGAATGTTTCCTGGTGTGTTGTCAAATATTATAAGGTCAAGAAACAATTTTCATGATGATAAGAACTGTGTGGCAGTTTGAGACCACCAGAGTGAGATGGTATGGAACAATGGAAAAAAGGAACAATGCAGAAAAGGCCTCCTCTAACCTCTAGAATACTCTTTAAATATAATTAAATGCTGTGCTTTTACTGAAGACCAGAAAATATAGCACACTCTATCACATTTCCATGGTCAAATCAAACTTTGTCATTATAGGTAACTGTATTCCCTCCGAATCTCAATGTGAAACATATGCACTTTGTCTACTATTTCCTATCTTTCTAATTCACTCCCAACTCCAACAATCTATAACCTCACAATTCTCACTGTTTCAAACTTTCCTTATCTATTCACTTCCCCTTTACTCAGCTTTCATTCCTTGGTCAATAATTATAATCATTCATTTGCATCTATCTTTAACTTCCTGACTACTTGGTCAAACCATACCCCTAGTTAAATTCAACTTTCTCTCTGAGCCCTACCTATACAAAAATTCACTCTTCTTGTATGCTGTCATACCATGGGCAGGCAAACACTTCCATGAATAGTATATATTTTAGGCTCTGTACATCATAGAATCTTTAACTACTCTATTCTGCTGTAGAACAAAAGCAGCCAAAGATAGTATGTAAACAAATGTACGTGGCTATGTTGCAATAAAACTTCTATTTATGGATGTTAAAATTTGAATTTCATATGCTTTTCACATATAATGAAATTTCTCTTTCTCTTTTTAACTTAATTAAAGATGTAGAAAACATTAGTAACTCATGGGCCTTATGAAAACAGCCTGTGGGTTGGATATAGTCCACAGTCTGTAACTTGCTGATCAATCTTAGACAATTTCATACTTTCTCTTTTTGACTCAAATGTCTAACATCTATTTTTCTATGCTTACTCTCAGTGATGGGCTTTCTTTTCACTGAGCAACAGGGCAAGCACTTCTATAAGCTACTATTATCTCTATCCATTTAACTCTATGTCCTTATACACTGACTTCTCTCTGTTAATATGCTCCTGGCAAGAATCAAACCCTCATTCTCAGACTTGTCCACTCAAAAATATCACTCTTTCCCTCTTTGCCTTGTATTATCAATATTCCCCTCTCTATTGGATGTTTCCCATTAGCATATAAATGTTATTTATCCCATATTCAGAACAAAAGACATTCCCACTTCTCTTCCTCTAGCTAGTGCTCCACTCTTTCCTTCGCTTAAGAGTTATTAATGTTTTCTCTTTCTAATTTCTTTTCCCATCCTCTCTTAAATCTATTCCAATCATGCTTGTATCATTATACCATCCCTTTGAAACTGCTCTCATAAATGTTCCCCCAAATCTCCATATTTGTTAAATCTAATAAATTCTCAGTCCTCATCTCATTTGTCCTAAAAGGAAGTGAGATTTGGCCAATTGTACAATCCCTATGGCTTGAAACATTTTTTTCTTGGCTTTTATAGCATTCTACCATCTTAATTTTCCTTCTGCCTCACAACTGTTCCTTCTTAATCTTCTTTGCTGATACTTTTTCATCTCTCCAGGACTCAAGTTGTTAGACTTCTTCTCTATTTTCACTTATTTCCTTGGTGATTTCATTCAGTCTTGTGGCTTTAAGTACAATCTGTGTGTTGACAATCCCATATTTGTATCTGTAGCCTGAACCTCTCCCCTGAATACCAGACTCATATATCTAACTGCCTACTACTTGGAGATCTAACAGGTATCTCAGATTCAACATATCTAGAAGTGAGCTCCTGATTTTTCTTCCAAACCTATTACTTCTGAAATCTTGTCTATCTCAGTTAATGGCAAATCTGCATTTCTAGAAAGGATTTTAGGTGACTTCCAGTTGAGTATGATGTGCAGAAGATTTATGAGGAAAGAAGAATGGGAAAAATGTAACTGGACAGTTTTAAGAATAAAAATCAGGGAATTAATTAATGCTATTGTGATATATTAGCTGAATAACACTGTCCTTCTCACTATGCATCTGCTAAGAGAAAGAGAGACAAGGAAAATAAGTGAGTGTTGTAATGAAGAATCTCAGGGTAAAGAGGCTCTAAAGTGTCACTATATTGAGGACACCCTGAACTATTTCTGTCAGATAATGAGATTGAAATGAACAAGAACTAGACAAAGAAGTTGTATAGTAATCATAAAACTACTTCTTGTATTTGTGCAGTGGGAACACAATGAACGTAGTCAGTGCTCTATCCTGGTGATTCCAAGTGGAAAAGGAAATCATGTATATAATGAAGGTTACATATGTGAAAAGTGTAGAGGAAGATAAAAGAGAGAACTATTCTAGACTTTCAGTTCTTCTCTACACTTAGGAAGCCATTTATTTGTCCACCACATCTCTTACCTAAATTCTTAGGGTCAGATGTGTCTTGGATTCAGAATTACTTTATAAAGGTAATAGGTACAGATAATATGGAACTATGGATTATACAACTCCCCACAGAAAATACACCTGGTATTTCCCTAATAAAATGTGTAATATTCTATGTCAAGTGGGACTAATAGGACTATAAATGGCCTCATCTCAGTTTAAATGAAGATTTACCTCCCAAATGAATTTAAGCCGAGTATAGTTTGTTTATTTTGGTATCAGGGATTGAACCAAGGAGTACTTAACCACCAAGCCACATCCCCAGCCCTTATTTATATTTTATTTAGAGACAAGGTCTCACTACGTTGCTTAGGGCCTCACTAAGTTGCTGAGGCTGGCTTTGAATTCACAATCCTCCTGCCTCAGTGTCCCAAGCTGCTGGGAAGGTCAAGTAAGGTTTGTGACCAAATGAGTATTAAGAAATGATTTTCAGGGGCTGAGGCTGTGGCTTAGAGGTAGAGTGCTCGCCTACCATGCGTGAAGTACCAGGTTTGATCCTCAGCACCACATAAAAATAAAATAAAGATATTGTGTCCACCTATCACTAAAAAATAAATATTTTAAAAAAAGGAAAATTATTTTCAGAGCCTATGGACTTCAGAGTTGTGAAAAGATGATTGAGGATGTGTTCTAGCTTCAAATAGCAAAAGTGTGAGCAAGATCAAATTATTTTCAACTTTGTAAATAAGAAACAAATTAGGGAAATACTAAGAGTGTTTTCTGTGGGGAGTTGTATAATCCATAGTTCCACATTATCTATACCTATTACCTTTAGGTCTCTAGAATTTTACCTCTCATGAACTTTAACAGAAGAGTAACACCTTCAGAACCACTAAGTAAATTCAAAGAGGTAAATATTGATTCTTACCAGAAAAGTGGAATCCATTTCTGCTGTCATCAGTACTAGGCCCTTTTCTTCCTTAAGTTCAGGGTAGTGATATAAAATCAGTTGGCTGGCTGCAGTGTCCCCCCGGGTCTGCAAGAGGAATACTTATCAAGGCTCAATAAGGTACCACCACAACAAACTGCAATTTCAAAGCAATAGAGAGTCTGGAGGAAATTCTGGTTCTTAAAAGCCTCTTGGGTGGCTAGTGAGTTGGAGAACTGGTATGTGGGGGCAAGGTCAGACTTGCAAAGGCACAGTGAAACTGACAGTTTGCAGGATGTTATTTGTGTCTTCAATTGGAAAAGATTTGGCTTTTTCCCCAGAAAATGTTTATAGAAGGCAGTGAATCCTTCATTGTGACTATACATTTAAAACCAAAATGGCACAAGCAGCTACCAAATCAAGTTCTAAAGAAAGCAATATGCCTTTGTAATTCTCACTTTTATGGACTAGTTCATTTCATAGCTAAAATCTACTCTCCTTGGCTGGCTCTGAAGATGGAGTAAGCTGCAACAAAAGCTAGAGATATAGTCCAGATTTGTAGTGTACAGTTTTAAAATATAATCTGGTTAGGGAAGGGAGGAGGGAAAAAGTATAAGAACATCATAATTTTACGAGGAAGCAGCTGTGAGCTACCTTGCACAGCAAAATATCGACTTTTGTTTAAAGGATTCAAATGCTTTGAATCTAACTTTTTAAATCTAATGTTCAGGAGTAAACAAAAAAGGAAGCAAACAAAATGACATTCATTAAATGAAAAATATTAATCTAGCACCTCAGAAGGTGCTGACTTGGTTAATACAAAACACAAAAGACACAGAACCTTCCTCAGTGGGCTTATAGCTTGGATTAAAAAGATAACATCCTAACTTAGACATATTTGTTAAGTGGGGCATATGCAGTAAGAGCTACTGAGGTCTGGGGAAGAGACAAAAGAGAGCCAGATATAGTAAGAAAAAGGTAATCTAAGGTCTTTTCTCTAATTTCTTGACATTAAGTGGGGCCTAGAAAAATAGCCAAACATTCAAAGTATGACAGTTCAGCAGTGCCATAACAAATAATGCTGAGAGTTAATAAATATTCTGTGCCCCAAACCTCAGAAAGGGCTTCTAGTCCCAACAACGAGCAGGCCTTTCTTCCTACCCTTTTGCTTGGTAGGGCACAAGTCACCTACCTGAATATTTATAAGTGCAGTGAAGTGGAGTTCAGTACCTGTCCATTGTCCTACAAAGAACTCATAACCTTCCCTTCTTGGTAGTGCACACAGAAACTGGGAAAAAAATACACAAGGAAACAGTTAAATAAAAGAAGCCATTTGCTCTAGGTCCATCCTCTTGCATCTATTACTCCATTTTTATCAATACTTGTTTTTTAAAACATTTTAGAATTATGAAATTCATGTGACAATATAACACTTTTCAGCCCACTTAAGAAATAAAACATTAGAGATATAATTTGAGGATCCCTTTGCATGCCATTCCAATCCCATTCTAGAGTTTACATTCAGTCCTGTATATATCTATCATTCCCTTCTGTTTTTATACTTTTAATACATATGTGTAAATCTATAAGAAAAATATACTATTTGAGCATTCAAAAACTTTAAATCTTATCAAACTGTATATATCCTCTTATAACTTGCTTTTTTTTATAAGACACTGATGGATCTTTATTTTATTAATTTATTTATATGTGATACTGAGAATTGAACCCAGTGCCTCACACATGCTAGGCAAGTGCTCTACCACTGAGCCACAACCCATAACTTCCTTTCTTGAATTCATATTAGGCTTCTGAGACTAATATATGTTGATAAATATAATCCTTTAATTTTTCACTATTGTATGCAATTCTACTACAAACATTTCTCACAATTTATTCATCTATTTTTTTCTTGATGAACATTTGGGTCTTTTTCAATTTCTAAGTTTACTAATAGTATTGAAATAACTTGTTCGAATTGCTATAAAATCATTTAATAATACTGGCACATGACTTTAGATTAAATACCAAGAAATTATTAGTTTTATGCCCAGGATGCTTAGAATTGAAGATGAGCAGTAGAGAATGGTGCCAGAATAAAATAAAGTCCAATTACAGTAGTCACAGAGTTGTTTTCTTACTCGCAACCACTCAGGCTCTGATTCATTACTATTAAATATCTGAGATAACCTTGGTGGCTATTTGATATTCTTTATTAGGGGGAAATAAGCTTATGGAGTTTTATTTAGGCATATTTGAAGTATAATAAATTATATACATTTGAAGTACATATTATACATTTAATATTTATATTACAATTTGGTTTATTCTATTACTTGCATACTGTGAAACTATTACTATAATCAACTTAATGAACATATCTATGGTCTATAAAAGTTTTTCTGTATCCTTTTGTAATTCATACCTCCCCGTCCCCTACTGTCCCTATGAAACCACTAATTTGCTTTCTGTGACTTTAGATCAGTCTATATTTTAGAATTTTGTATAAATGGTAGCATGGAATATGTCTTTTATCAGGGAAGGTTGGCTTCTTTCACTCAACATTATTGTTTTGTGATCTATCCATGCTGTTCTATGTATTCATTCATTTTTATTGCTGAAGGTTATTGTGTGTATAGGTGCAGATGTATGTTTTTTCTCTCTCTCCCCTCATAATTTCTATGCACTTGTGACTCACATTTGGATTATTTCTATTATTTAGTTATTATGAACCGAGCTATTTGAACATTCATGAATAGGTCAGTATATGATTGCTTTTAGTTTTTTCAGAAAAATATGTAGAATAATTAGAATGTCTAATTAATATGGAAGGTGTGGGCTTACACTTAAACAAAATTATTTTCTAACATGGTTGTACCATTTTATACAATCAATAGCAATATATGAGAGTTCCAGTTGCTCCATATCTTCACCAACACTTGGCATCATCAGTCTTTTTAATTTAAATTATTCTAGTGATATCTCATTAAGGTTTTAATTTGCATTCTCATAATAATTAATGAGAATTCAATGAGAACTAATAAGCATCTTTTCAGCTGCTTATCTGTCACTTCACTCCTTAGGTAAAACATCTATTCAAATCTCTTGTCCATTTTTTTAATTGCATTGTCTGTCCTCTTTATTAGTGTAATAAGAGTTTTTAACATAACTTGGGTTGCTTCCACCATTTTATTATTTTGATTAGTGCTGTTAAGAATATAAGTGTACAAGTGTACAAATATTTTACTTTTGATGAAACCTAATCTAATGATTTGTTTTCTTTTGTAGTTTGTGCTTTTCATGGCATAATTAAGAAATCTTTGCTCAACTAAACCTATGACTTCCTCTTTTATTTTTCTTCCATTAGTTTTTATTTATGTCTATGACCTATTTTGAATCAACTTTTATGTAGTATGAGATAAGAGTAGATGTTCATTTTCTTTTCATATGGCTATCCAATCATTTTAGCACCTTTGTTGAAACCATTATCTTTTTCCTATTTAATTATTCTGGCATCTTTCTTGAAAAACAACTAACCTGAAATAGATTGGTCTATTTCTGAACTCTATCCTGTTCCACTGATTTCTATGTCTATTTATGCTAATACCACAATTTTTTTGGTACTGAGGATTAAACCCAGAGCCACATCCTCAGCCCTTTTTAATTTTTTATTTTGAGACAGGTTCTAAGTTGCTTAGGGCCTGGCTAAGTTGTTTAGGCTAGTCTCAAACTTGCAATCATCTTGCCTCAGCCTTCCAAGTCACTGAGATTATAAGCACGTGCCACTATGCCCAGCTCCATACTGTTTTTAGTATTATACCAAAGCCTATTGAGATTTTGACTGGAATTGTATTTAACCTAGAGATCAATTTGTAGAGAACTGACATCTTAACAATATTGAGTCATCCAATCCAAGAACATGACATATCTCTCCTTTTACTTAGATTTTTTTTGTGTGTATGTGTGGTGCTGGGGATTAAGGCAAGCACTCTACCAACTGAGATATATCTCCAGCTTTAAATAAGTCCTTATTTTCTGTCAGCTATGTTTGGAAAAAAAATTGAAAAATCCTAGAAATTATTACCAATAGTAGCCCAGCTGAAAGTCAGCTACCCATTCTCTTTCCCTGGAACCTTCTGAAAGCTCATTATTCCAGCAACAACCTCAAAAACAGGCACATATTACCAGAATAGCATGGCCACAACTACAAAGAAAATTGCCAGTAAATTAGGAACTTGAGAGAGGTTGCAAAGATCAAGGTCTCAGGTACCTTCTAATATGCACTTACCCTAAAAGATGAAGACCAACATCAGAAAGGCCTGATATGTGGTAGAGAGCTAAAAAGCCCAAAGCTTGCTGGATAAAACCCATATTATTTTGTAAGGCTATAAATATCACTTATCAGTACAATTAATATGTGGGCATCTTTGTTAAATAAACAGTACACCATAACAAGTGAGAGTATGATGGAATGGGTTGGAAAACACCTTTCTTGGCAGCACTGCTAAGCAATCCTTACATGGTCACCAAAAACTTACTGTTGGACAGGACTGCGCCCGGTTCCAGATCAAATCAAACTTCTCTTTCTGTAAATTAGAAAAGAGTAAATTAGTTCACAAAGAGGGAAACACAAAAGACCACAGTCATAATTAAATTCACCAAGATTGGATTCTAGAACTATCAATAACTAAAACAATATTTTAAGTTTCATAATTTATAAATCACTCTTGTAAAAGAAAGACAAGAGAAGTCAGATGTGTGCTTTGCTGTTCATTATCAGAATTAAGAGTGAAAATAATGCTTCAACTCTCCAGGGAACTCACTAAGTCAGTCCCAGGGAGAGCTGAGAAAGTTTGCTCAAACACTAAGTTGGTATAAGAAATCTAAAATATAATGAAAAGTACAGATTGTTTTGACTGTTAAACTCATGAAGGGTATAGCTGTATATGTATATGAGGCTAAAAAATAGAACAAAGCAAAAACTGATAGTGATACCCTCATACATAACAACCAAAAGGTCTGGCTTTATCCTTCTATCTGTTTTCTTCCTTATTCTTACACTTATTCGTGTAAGCAAGTATATATTTTATACGTGATATAATTAAGCTTAATCTAAGCCACTTCCTCTTCAGAGAAGAAAAAGAACATTGAAGAACTAGCTGATAACCCAGTATTTAAAATGGTTTCCTGTCAGCAGAAGGGCATTAAACTAGAGAAGCCAACAGCATCCCTTTCCAGTCATAGACCTTAATGGTCAAGCCAGTGACAATCTCTAAGACAGAAATTTCAAGAGGGAAAAAACCAAGAAAATGCTATTTGCTAAGGGGAAATGCCACAGAAAACTAGGAGGAAGCTCCAAGTCAGCTTGGGTAAGTTATTTATAGATAAGAAGTGAAGAAAGCTATACTAGAGGCTATGTCTTAAATTCCAACAGCCAGGTTGAAAACATCAAAAAGAAATAAAAGACATCTGGAAATTACTCAGCAACATGAACTTATACCATGCTCCCTTGTCAGAGACTTAACTCAGAGACATTTCTAAACCAGAAAAAGGAAAAACAAAAGCCATAAATATACCATATGGAGCTTCCAATCTTTGGCGCTTAGGGCATAATAAAAACCCTCAGAGCTGTAAAATCCAAGTTCTCAAGAGGCCATAAACACAAGAAAAGTAAAGGCAACTGCCAGCTAAGGTTAGAGCACTGACCTTCATACTGTAACACTTTCATTTCCCGTCCAAACTACTTACAGGAATAACTGCATAGACTGTATCTTTTGCTGCAAAATACTGCTGCCAAATCTGTATAGAAAAAAAGGGGTAAATTTGTGATATGTGGGTAATCTTTTCAACCTATGCCAAGAAATGGTGATAATTTTCGTTTGCTCAGAATAATATTCTACTTGATAGCAAAGAGGAAAAACCCACTTTAGTGCTTTTATGACTAATATATAATTACAAAGATGATTTAATGCCACATACTCCTCTAAATAATTAACTTCTAATTCTTACTAACAAATTCTGCCAGAGAAATAGATTCTATGACCTTTGAAATCATTCCTTTCAAGATGTGCCTTGTGATCCTCTTTTGAGATCCTTTTTTTTTTGGTATCTTCTTTCTTTCCTCCCCAAATCCTCATCTCTATAGACAACTGTGGGCCTGTTACTGATAGCCAGAACATCAGTCATTCAGAGTACAGGATCTGGAGTCAGGAGGACATGGATGTAGATTCCAGTTCCAATCATTTACTAGCTGTGCTACCTCGGGTAAATCACTGAAACTCCCTAAATAACATCAATAAAATAGCAATAATATCAACCTCACAGGATTGTTGTGAAGACTAGCTGAACTAATACAGGTTTGTGCTTGGCACAAAGTAAACACTAAAAGTAATGCTAGTCTTTATTAGCTAATTTTGCCATGTTATAGGCAGCTTCCTACTTCCTGAAAGTCTTTCATATAAGGAAGAGATCAAATTTTCTAGGTGACTTTGGTATAGATAAGACAGAAGTTGACTCTCATGATGCAAATACCAAAGTGTAGGGAATACAAAATTAAATAATGAAATTAGAAAATTAGAAAATAAGGAAAAAAAATATGCCCATAGTCTTACTACCAGAAAAGAATCACTATTGTTATTTTTGATATATGTTTCTAGCATATCTTAAGAATATTTTTTCTGTTATAATATAAATAGATATAATATATATGCAATACTATATCTTGTTTTTTTTTAATCCCCTCTATATCACATACATGCTCTGTGTTTATATTTTTCATTACTATTATTTTTATTGTTTTCCATCTTTTTGGCTCTCACTGGAAAAGCCTTCCTCTCTATCTCTGACCCCCCAATCTTTCCTGTTCTCTGAAGCTGAGAACAACTACGTTTTTTCCACGTAGTCTCACTTGGTCATTTCAATCAGATGAAATGAAATAAGGCAGGAGGAAATAACAGACACATTCTATACACAGAATGACAACATTAACAAGGGCACAGAAGTCAAGAAAGGCATCAGAACCAAGGAGACCTCTGAGTGAGCACATTTTGAAGAATGGGTCATCCTTTCCTAAAATTGCTCTGCTCTGTCAATATTCCCATAAAATATATGGCCCCAGAACGATGGCTCAGTGGTAAAGTACTTACCTAGCATGTGCAAGGCCCTGGGTTTGATCCCTGGCACCACATAAACACACACAAACACATACACACACACAAGTCCCAACAGAAGATACTAATCAAAGTGTGATCTAGCTTACCAAAATATAGAGCACAAAAGCACAAAAAACCCCACTACTTCCAAGAACCTAAGCAAACCACTCAACTAATGCAGCCTAACATTGCCTTTTCTTTCTTCTTCTTTTTTTTTTTTTTTGATGCTTGGGATTGAACCCAGGGCTTTGTGCATGTAAGGCAAACACTCTACCAACTGAGCTATATCCCCAGGCCAGACTTCTTAATTTAAGGATAGCATATTCTGATCATTTTGATTTAATTTATGATATTAGCAAAGTTTATGAATGAACACTGAAATTTTTGAAACTATTAGATATTTCCTAACTTGGCTGGCCTTCACTACTCAAAAAATATTTCAATGAACACAAATTTGTATCTACATTTATAGGTCTAAATGATACCTCTATGATCAGGCCTCCTAGACCTGGTTTTCTTGCTCTGAAGTGACATGTATGGTGCCCAAGTTCCACTGGCACTCCTTCCCAAAGTCATAGCCTAATGTCCCCCTGAGACTTTGCATACATCTCTATTAACAGAAACTGAATCTTCTGCTGGTTTTATTTGTTTTTATGCTTGTCCCTCCATAAAACTCATTGAGAATAGGAAATTGTGTTTGGTACAGGATCTGGAGTCAGGAGGACATGGATGTAGATTCCAGCTCCAATCCCATGTTCCTCTTGCACTCCTTGGTAAATGCTTGGTAAAATAAATGATATAACATCCAAAGGAAATGCATTACAACTCTAAGTGAATATGATGCAAAGTCAAACAGACATGGATTTTGAATTCCAGCTCCCTCAACTATAAATTGAGACTGACAACACCTTCTTCACAGAGTGGTCATAAAAATTTAATTAAATAATGCATATGAAGCACTAGGGATAATACCTGACAGATATGCTACTTTTATTATTATTTTGATAAATAGTACATATACCTAAAATGAAATTCAAGAAATGCCAAAAAATAGCTTCTTCTATAGTCTCATTAGAAAAGAACCAGACATAAAAAGGTAACTGGCAATGAAAATCAAGGCAGATACAATGACCAAATAGGCAGGATAGATGAGGAGTGTTTGAAGGAAGGAGTTTCTTGCAGAAGGTTCTGGAATCGTGGAAGATTATGAATGTCAAAAAAAAGAAAAAAGAAAGAAACAAAAAGAAATGAGAAGTTACTTAACATCTGCAAGCAGGTTCCCAACATAATATTTTTATTCATTTAAGAACTATAGCCCTTACTCAGTACTAGGCATTGTTCTAAGTACTTTATAAATATTAATTCATTTAATTCTCAACTTTTTGAATGTATGTACTATTATCTCTACTTTAAAATAGAGAAACTAAAGCTCAAAAAGCTAACTAACTTGTCCATGTCAGACAATTAGGAGGTGGTCAAGCGGGGACTTAAAACTGGCAATCTATGTTTTAACCAGTATGCTATGCTTCCCTATAAGGCAAGCAGGACTCAGCTGGTGAGAATATGGTATGTAGAGGGGGAAGAAATGGGAACAGGAAACCTACTGGAAAGATAATATAGTAATCCAGGTATAGGGTATTTTTGGTTTTAAATTAGATGTAGGCAACAGGAATGAAAAAGGGAAAATACAAGTTCGTTAGGTATGTGAGAACAAGACCAAGAAAGACAAGTTTATGCCACTGTTCTTGTAATACATCACTTTTGCCTCATATAACTACTTTTTCATTTTGACTAAAAAGAGGTATCAGAAAATGTATGCTCTTTCTACTCTCAGATTTGGTTCATAGAACACATTTTCATGGAGTATGCCAATTCATTTTCATTCATTACCTGTTTTATTTCTTCTGCAGTTTTGTCTTTCACCATCTCAATGTTTAAGATTGAACTGAGAGTCTTGAAAGAGAAAATAAAAAGCAATTAACACCTACAATAAAAACAATAATAATAAACCCCCTCCCCACAGCTTGATTCTGTAGGAATTCTTTTTATTTATTTATTTATTTATTTATTTTTATTGGTTGTTCACAACATTACAAAGCTCTTGACATATCATATTCTGTAGGAATTCTTGTAGGAAACAACCTATTGGCACATCGAAACAGAGCTTCAATAAGTATAGAAAAAGTATATGAAAATCTATATATGCTCAGAGACAGTGAGTCCCCAGCCCACACAGTTTTTCATAGTTCTTTTCCTGGGGGCTATCTATTAGGTCACCATGTTCATGCTTCACTCTCACCAATGAGTTCTATAGAAATTTGCAGCTGTTAAAAGGAGAAAGGCGGCTGTTATTTTTAATGTAACTGTTCTTTTACCAGAGATGGTTCCTTATGTGCAAATTAAGTGACAGACTAAATATGTTTTTATTTGATTTTTAAAACTACTTCCTAAAGAAAGGAAGGATGTTACTACGTTTCCTTCAAATTTTCTCCAGAACCTATACTTGAACTAGGGTCAAGGATACAAAAATTCATAGAAATATTTCTCATCTCTAGGTGAAAAATCATCTTATACAAAATCACTTAATCACAATAAATATGTTCAATTTTTTAGCCTCTTGATATAAAATGTCTCCTATGACTTTAGATTTGGATCTTTATATTTAATTAGAAACCTACCTTGTCCTTAGTGAATCCTCTGCTTATAGACTGTTTCCCCAAGGTATCTGTCTGAAATACATGATGAGACAGGATATCAATCTATGCTTTATTCATAGGAAAAAGGAAATCCATTTAGCTGAAGTGCACAAACTCATTAAATAATTTTGCACTTAAGAACTCACTTCTTTCCACTCTTTATAACAACTGTACACATTACTCTAAGAGTTCCTGTTCATGAAACAACTTGTCCCTGACTAAGACTTTGAGATGCAGAGATGAGAAAAGATTTGTCAGTAACCATTATCAGCTAGTACTGAGAGTTCATTCTATACTTGCCACTATGAATATGAGGGATTCCTTTGCAGAATTTGGTCTGCTTGGGTTTTCTGTGATTGGCTCTTTCAACTATTTCACATTGAGCTGCAGAAGAGATGAAAATATAAAGAACTGCTTCTCATTTCCAATGGCAGGTGTCCTAAGTAGACTAGAGTCTTTGTGAGTACTCAGTCTTTTTCTTTTTCATGGTGTTGGGGATTGAACCCAGGGCCTTGTGCATGTGAAGCAGGCACTCTACCAACTGAGCTATATCCCAAGTTCTCCCTTCTTTTTTTTAGTAGTAGGAATTGAACCTGGGGGCCTCATACATGATAGGCAAGTTGAGTACTCAGTCTCAGTGGTCTTTCCATTAAATTAGATTCCCTCTCAAAAAGGCAAAAAACAACTGAAAGTGATTATTTTATCTCCTGGCTTAACTAGCTTTGACAGAAGCTACACACTAGAAATCCTAGTTCGAGTTGTTGTTGATATAGGAATCCTGGTGGATAGCTGATAGTTTTGAATTTTCTATTCAGTCTCTAAGTTTAAGACTATGACTTTCAAAGGTAAGGAGTACAGCCTATACATAGGATTTTGAAGCTAAAAAATACTTTTTCTGCATAAGACCTTGCTTTTGTCACTCTATGATTTAATGAATCCAAACCTTTCAAAAATTATATATATAGAACCTGGACCCACAAAAGAGAGAAAAATCTGGTATAGGAGCTAGGATTATGGCTCAGTGGTAGAGCACTTGCCTAGCACATGTGAGGCCCTGGGATCAATCTTTGGTACCACATAAAAATAAATAAGTAAATAAATAAAGGTATTGTGTTCATCTATAACTAGAAATATATATTTTTTAAAAAACCTGGTGCAGAAAAATCCATTATACAAAAATATAGTCTTGTCCTTTGGTCATATATTAGTGGCATCCTAAAGTAGCTGTTTCTTCATATGTAAGCATACTAAAAAGGAGTAGTTCTTACTACTCATTCCCAGGTATACCATGAAAACAAAACAAACAAAACACCCATTTTCCCTGAAATGGTCACTTTGAGTCTGGGGAAGAATTTTTTTGTCATATTAATTGATTATATGGTTACTATCAGCCTTCCTCTGTCTAGCTAGATAAGGAAGATATATAGTAAATGAATATTTACCTAATAGTTGCAATAATTAAAATTAAGTACTTATTCTGTATCTTATCATTATATAGTTAATTTTTAGTGTGCTTACAAAAAAGGTGCAAAGAGTTTTCCTATATAATATTGAAAGTTTGTAATACAGTAATATTTCCAAGAGCTTCTGACTGGTAATCTTGCTACTATAAACATTTATTACAGGAAACATATTTCTTACTATAGGTCATGGCCAAAGAGGTTGAAAAATACTGCATTAGATTAATTTTCCTATATACAGCTTTCCACATACTTTCCAGCCAACTTTGATTCCTTGTTTAAGGATAATAATGGCTAATATGTACTAAATACTTCTTATGTGATTACATAAGTACTTACTGTGTGCTAGGGACTATGCTAAAAAGTTTTGCATAATATCTCACAATTCTGTAAGGTAGGTACTGTTATTATTCCTTTATCACAGAGAAGCAAACTGAGACATGGAGAACTTGTATAAGTTGCTTGGAGATAGTAGGTAGAAGAGCTAAGATTCAGTTCCTGAAATCTGGCTCCAGAGCCCATCATCTTACCAAGTAAGTTGTCTATCTCCACTTCTAAAACCCAATCCTCACTTGGAGGTTAATGACTAACCTATTTCTTTAGTCTTTACATTTCTCTCTGCTGAAGGCTAGGGGCATCCTTTGGATACACAGCTCTTGCTGGACTGACCTTAGGCAAAATACTTCACTATCTCCTAAAATCCTTTACTTTCAAAACACTTTTTCTATTTAACCTAGTTCCTTAAGAAAGGGTGGGAGTGGAGTATGAATGGGCAATAGTTGGACATCAGCAATCTAAATCCAGCATGCCAGTTGTTTTAGTAAATAATTTTTATTTTTTGGTGGGGTGGGGGGCACTGGGAATTGAATATAGGTCTTGTGCATGCTAGGCAAGTGCTCTACTACTGAGTTACACCCCCAGTCCTATAAATAAAATTTGACTAGAACATAACCACACACTCATTCATTTACTTACTGCCTGCTTTTGTAGTATAATAGCAGAACTGAGTATTTGCAACAGAGACCATATGGCCCACCAAGCCTAAAATATTTACTATTGGGTCTTTTACAGAAAATGTTTAATGATCCCCATTCTATTTCAAAGTTCCCCTTTCTCCTCTTGGCTTAATTCAAATCCTTTAACATTATGGTTTGGATCTGAAATGTCTTCCAAAGGCTCACGTACTGAAGCCTTGGTCCCCACTGCAGTAATGTCCAGAGTTGGGGCTTTGGGGAAGTGATTGGATCTTGAGGACTCTGATCTTATCAATGGATTAATTCACTGATGGATTCATAATCTGATGGCATTATTGCAAAGAGGTGGAAACTATAGAAGATGAGAACTTGGGGGCAAGGTCTTGGGGACTGTATCTTGTTTCCAGCTCCTTTCTTTCTGCCATTTCCTCCCCTATACCCTTCCATCATGATATTCTGCCTCACCTCAGTACCAAAGCAATGGAGCCAGCAGACCATGGACTGAAACTTCTGAAACCACGAATCAAATTAAACATTTTTTACTTTATGTTGATTTTTCTCAGGTGTTTTATCACAGAGATGAAAAGCTGACTAACACACCCAAACTCTTCCTATCCTGGATCAAGTCCTACCTTCCCTGAGAAATTTTCCCTGATTCCTTCAGTGCAGTGTTGTTTACACCTTGCCTTCACCATTAGCCTGCTCGTGCTGGGAGCAGGGAACTATCTTTTTCATCTCTCTATATTTCCACCATGACCACACTATGTTGCCCTGAAACAGCAGGTTAAACATATATGGTTGAAGACTGAGTAGAGAGAGGCTATGAACAGATTATCTAGTTAACCCATCAAGGAGCCCACTTCAAGGGTAAGGGTTGTAGGGTATAGGGAGGGGTACTGGTAAGCCAACAGCATAAAAAGGGACAGGTCTTACCTTCTCCATACACTTGATAAAATCACCTTGTCGAGAGTGCCCCACTGGCTGCTTTCGAAACTCACTGCGCTTCTCTAAGCGAGACTCAAAAGCAGCTGGGTCAGACCTGATCAAAGATAAACATGATAAACCACCTGGGTTGCTCTGGATTTTGAAATAATAAAGCATTGTGTTCCATCTCAACAGAGAAAGGACACAGGAATTCAGAGAGGCTGAAGTATTTGTCTGGACTGGGCACAGGCCTGAAAGTCAAGAAAGTAGAAAAACAAATCCAGCCACATGACTATTATTAATCCTTAAGGGGCTAACAAAACATTTTTTTCTTTTTTCTTCTGCAGGCTACTTCCCAGGCAAATACAGGGATTGGTCTCTCAGATATTGACACTCTAGTGACAAAGAATCCTCAGGATGGAAAGTGTATTTTGAGATCATTTTACTGGGTCATCTCCGCAGGAAGGAATTCTATAGCATATCTATGTAGTGTTCAAGCTTTTATTGAACATATTTAGTTCTTTGGTATCTCCTCAGGTTAAACATCAGTTTTATTCAGATCTGGGTAACTCAAAGAACTCAACTATCCTATTTTGCAGAAGATTTAGCATCTGAGGGTTTCCCTGACCTATTTTCCAAAGAACCTGCATATAGAATATGAGAAATTGTCTTTTATGTTAAAATGGGCCTGATCTTCAGGCTTGAAGTCTAGTTTTGGGCTGCCATCCTTGTTAAGAATTCTTCAGGCTGTGGGTCTGACAGTGGGATATTTGGCAAAGACATTATCCAGGGACTCTCTAGCTCCCTGATTATAAGGATTGTAGTGTTATGGGTGAGATCTATAGGAACCAGGGACATCTTGGCTACCCCTCTGGTAGACCTTCCCAGTCAAGGTATTATACGGAGCCCCTCTCCCATAAAATTCATTTCTGGAGGTGAGATCAAATATCACTCCCTTCACTGACATGTAGATATGCATATCTTCTTCCTTCCCTCTGGAAGGACTGTGTCAATCCTACTAATGGCCACAGACACCTGGGTCATGGTAAGCCCATAGAGAGGAGAGGCATCCTGGGCAATAGAGGGCTTGCTGGGCCTTAGGGATAGAGAAATAAATAAGACAGAATCCCTACCTCAAGGAGCTTACTATCCAGTGGGAGAGACCGACATGTAAATAAGTATATAAGAATGCTACAAGTATTGTCATGAAAATTTGTTCAAATATCCCCGAATGACTGAGGTGGTTTCATGCTCTATACTTTTGATTATGTTAGTATAAGGGGTTATTTGGAATTTCTCATTTCTCTCTTCCAATTGTATGCATGAGTGCTAGACCATAGTACTCACAGGAATTTTAGGTAATAAATAAGGCTAAAGAGAACAACAGATATTAGGGTGTGAAGTCAATGTGGCACCTTGGAAAGCTTGCTCTTCAGGAAATAACAGTCTGTGTAAATGTTGATGGAATGATCTGGTAGGAAAGGAAAGCAAAACCATTATTTGTTCATGAGTTCAGAATGAGTGGAAGCTGTGGGCTGGGGTTGTATCTCAGTGTCAGAGTGCTTGCCAAGCATGTGTGAGGCACTGGGTTCAATTCTTAGCACCGCATATAAATGAATAAAACAAAGGTCCATCGACAACTAAAAAAACAAACTTAAAAAAAAAAAGAATGAATGGGAGATGTTAGGCTTCTATCATCTGAATGTGAGTGGACAACTTTTCAGATGCTTGTGCATTAAGGGATAAAAGAAAAAACTGGAGAGGAATGTAGGTCAGGGAAAAGTTTCTGAAATGACAAATACTTGAAAATATCTAAATGACAGAGGGCAAAATGACTCCATTCATTTATTCCATTGTTGTTTCAAAAAGTGAGAAAGATTAAGATAATAGCAGTGAGATTGAAACAGACCCCCTTTGAAATTAAAAGCAACTTCCTGATCATTGCTTTTCTGCATCCTGAATCTCCTCATGCTTGAGGGCAGAGGCCAAGGAAGACTGACATATACTCTGGCTAAGCACAGATTAATCTACATATTATACCACCAGGCTTTTGTTTCTACAAATGCAACTGCTTCTGTGGAACCAGTGGGAAAGCAATCTAGCTACTTTTCCCCGGCTTAAACAAACTACATTAAATTTCTTTTTCTATTGTTTGCCTATTTCCTACACAGGCAGATGGTGAAATGAAGGTAGCTGTGATCCAGGCAGGCTTCCTGGCTTGGCTGCCATAACAAGATGGACTGGGTTGGAAACTACTCTGCCAAAGTCTCTCCTAAGTCTTTCCACCTTTGGTCTCTTTCAGCTGGCTCTTTCTTTCAAATTCTTCAGGCTCTTCCGTGCTCCCTAGCTTCCCAAACCCCTTCTAATCTATAGGTCCTTCCCTATAAAAGCTCAGGGGTAGTACTGGGAACACTGGGTTCAGTCAAATTCCAACCAGCTGCGTAGCCTTTGGCAAGTTTCTTCCTTTTCTCTGGTCTTCAGTTTCCTTAACATAATGAGAGTTTGACAGATGAAACAGATGTGACAAAACTGGTCTTTGTGGCACTTCTCCCTCCCATAACCTCCTTGCCATGCAGTTAGGGCCCTAAATGAGGAGCCTGGGAATCCAAGCTTTGGGCCAGGCCTCTGCTGACTCAATATGTGACCTTGAGCAAATAAAGTCCCTTCTCTGGAAGGCTTCATTTTCCCATTTCTACAATGAAAATAGATCTCTCTCATCTGACTTACAGGGTTGTGACAACTAAAACATAAAGACAACTGTGGAAAGAGCCAGGGCTTTTCAGAAACTAAATAGCCCTGAGATCTTAGAGTGCTCTAGTCTCTCCGACCCTCGATACACTATCTTCACAGTGGGGACTGCACTGGTGCCCACTACGCGGAACCTCCGGCCACGGCCAAGTACCAGCACCCCCCCATCCCCCCCGCTAGCCGGCCGGGGCGCACCTGCGCAGCTGCTGAATCTTGTCTCGGTAGCGGTCGTAGAAGGGGTTGGCCTCGAGCTCGGCCCCGACCCCACTGCCCTCCGCGCCCCCAGAAGGCCGGCCTGAGCCGAGGCGCATAGGGAAAGCGCGCAGCTGGGCGGGTGAAACGAACCCAAGGCTCAGGGCGCGGCTCCGCACCGTGCACAGGCCTCGGTAGAGCCCGGCCACCTGCAGGACAGCTGGGCCCGCGCCACCAGCAGCCATCACCATAGCCGCCATGGCCGACCCCGTCTCCTCCTCTTCAGGAGAGTCGGCCCCGGGCCCGCGCGTCCCCTCCATCGTCCTCCGGGTCTGCGGCGCTCGCGCTACACCAAGGTGGTTCCGCGCGCCCCAGGTTCCGGGTTCAGGAGATACGCTAGGCGAAACGGGGAAGAGGGTAAAGAGTTGGGGACCGGGGGCTCGCCGCTCCAGCTCTGCCTGTCCGCCCTGCGTGTGCCTCGGCCCGCCTCCTCCCGGGAGCCGACCGGACTCACGCCCTCCCTTTCGAGACCAGCAGTCTCTGCGCGCCAGTCCTCCTCTGGGGAGCTGGTGGAGCCTTAGGGTCCTCACGGAGCTTGCTCCTTTTAAAATTCACTTGGCACTCCTTTAGCAAGCTTCAAAGGTTGTTTCTCCAATCCTCTTCACAGCTGCTGCTTCTCTTTACTAAGGCTTCTAGGTGTAGTAAACTTTATCCGATTCATATCCTTTGAGGCAGGCATTATTTTCATTTTACAGACGAGGAAACTGAGGGTCTAAAATTAACTTCTCCATGTTTTACCCGAGAGATGGCCTTTTCAATATGGCAGCTGCTTCCAAAGCCTTGTTTCCTAATTGCAGCACCAGCCAAACTGAACTACTTCCCAGAGTCATCAGGAATTGACTTTGAAAAGTCTTTAGGCTCTTTTTGGATCCTGGAATGCATTCTTCCTCAACCCAGATGCCACTATCTTTTTCACCTCTAGAACCAAGTGTGAACTCTTGAAGTCAGGGACAGTTACAGCCAAATCTGCTCACTTGCTCCCAGTATGAATGGACTCTCTGTCAAGCAGTCTTTGGTTTGCATTGTGTGGAAGTCTTGCCTAGGTCTTATCTGACTGAAACCTCTCCTGAGGCAGGGATGGAGCCTCAAACTCTGCTCAGTTGAACCTATATATATGAAGATCCGCCCTGCTCTATGCTAGGAGCAATGTAGTGGAGGATTAGTATGGCCTGTTCCTGGCTCAGGATCATTGCACTTGTTCTCTCTGTATAGATCCACACTTGCTGCCTCATTATCATCTAGGGCTTAGTTTCCATGTCAGCACCTCAAAGGAACCTTTATTGATGAATCTTCTCCTCTTCTTCTTCTTCTTCTTCTTCTTCTCCTTCTCCTTCTCCTTCTCCTTCTCCTTCTTCTTCTTCTTCTTCTTTTCTTCTTCCTTATTTTGCCCTCTTATTTTACCCTACTTTATTCTCTTCATAGCAGTTATCACCATCTGAAATTCTTAGATTCTTGTTTACATTAACTTGAGGTGCTTACATTCCAGTGGAGTGAAACAGACAATAAATAAATGTTAGGTAATGATACATGCTATGCTGAAAAACAAAGCAGTTTAAGAGAAATGGAGATAAGGGGAACACCCAAGCAGAAACCCAAAGAAAACGAGGGAATGATCTGCATGGATATCTGACAGAACAGCTTTCCAGGAAGGGGGAATAGCAAGGGCAAATACCTTGAAGCAGGAGCATATGTACCCTGCTTGTGGAACAACAAGGAGGTTTTCTATGTGAATGAGTGAAGGGGACGACAGTGAAAATGAGTCTAAGGAGGTATGGGAGTGGTTGGTTAGACTGCTCAGGGATTTGGAGGACTTGATCAAGGATTGTGGTTTTAAATCTGAGTGAGATGGGAATTCACTGTGTATTTAAGCAGAGTAACATGATCTATTCTTAAAAGGATCATTCTGGCTACTGTTAAAGTTGGAAGTAACTAAATGGTGCCAAGGAGCTGAGCCAGGACAACCTATTGGGAAGCTGACCTAGGCTTGATTAGGAAATGACTTTCTAACTGAGCTGGTCATAAATGAAGCAAGCTGCCTCAGGAGATGTAAGCAAGTTCCTGAGTCAAATGAACTCTGGGGGATTAGTTGCTGAGTTAGGGAAGTTCTGACCTCAGTACTCGAGTATCTGATGGAAGTTGGATTAGACAATGCTCCAAGTCTCTTCGAACTAGAGATGATGTGGTTTTGGGAAATCAAACTGAAAGGACTATTTGCCTCAAGAGTAGGGGAGTTGACTACCTGGGAGGATAAGGAGATGTTTAGTGGAAATGTGGGAAAAGGCACTCCTGAGTGAAGGAGCCACATGAGCTAAACTCCCAAGGTAAATAAACAGGGTCTTTGAGGAACCTGGCATGACTGGAAGGGAGAGGTATACGAAAGATGGAGAGGAAGATGAAGCTGGAAAGAGATGCAAGATCACATGGGCAGAGCTCCCACAGGCCCTGACGATGCCCAGGAAATACTTTGCCAGCACTTGTTAGAGAAACAAAAGAGAGATTACAAGAGCCAAACAATGAGGTTTGGACCACTTGGTTCCCCTGAGCAATGTTTTTTTTTTTTTTCCTTTGACAACTTGGTCAGAAACTTCTTAGGGGCAGGGCTGCCCAATGTTCATTGTGCTATCTGCCCCACTCACCACTGGAAAAGATATCTAGAAATGGCTCCCTAATAACTGACAACATAAATATAAGCTCCTGAGGGTGTGAGGGCCCTTTCCTGGGGGCTGTTCTGTGAGTTCACCATAAGAAGTTGGGAACAGATAATTCTGTGGTGGACCAGTCTTTGATGGAAGACAACTATGCTCATGAGATGCCATCAGATGGAGTCCCTTCCTCCCATCAACTCAGAACCCCTCCACAAGCACCACCCCTGGAATTCCCAGTGTTCAGAACCTGGTGATGACTTCTTTAGGGAACAGTGGGGCTTGAGCCTTCTGAGACTCCCATTGGTGGACAGGTTAGTGGGTGAGTTCATTCTTTCCAGAGCCATAGGCCTGGTAACAAGACTCAACCTTATGGATTCCGAAAAGAAGGATATGGGCCTTCCTGGCAGTAAGCACCCCTTCAGTCCTTTGAGTGTGGGGGACAAACTTTCCCTTTGCATGAATGGAGTGGTGGATGCCTCCATGGAGTGCTAAATAGTAAGATAGACTCCTCTAGGAAAGTAAGGATTCCTAGAAGGCAGAGACCATGTTCTGCCCAACCAGAAAAGATACATTGGTGTCCTTGTCAAGTGGTGAACTTTTACTTCTAGGAGGGCCTTGTCCTTAGTGAGGGTTCTCAATCTGATGGATTGGTTGGGTCCTGGATTGGGAGCCAGAAGGCCTGACTGAGTCCGTGAAGGTCATGTCCCCTCTAGACCTAGTGTTCCTTATCTGTAAAAGGCTAAAGTGGCCTCTTAGACTCCCTGCAAATCTAGCTTTGACTGAATTAAGAAAATGATGAGGCATATCTTTGAGGAGGGAGGGAAGGAATAAATGGATGAATGAACCAAAGCAAGGCGAGGAATGAGAAACAGTTCAGGTCCCAAGCTAGAGCAGTGTTACCCTGCCCCTCTCCCCTTTTTTAACTGCCCCAGTGGGGGTCTCGTTGTACTTTGTATTTCTGGGGCTGTGCTCTATTATAACTAGCGGCTGCATTCTCTTTCTGCACTGGAAGAAGAACCTCCAGTAGGAGGAGCGTGCTCAGCAGTGGGCACTTACAGCTCACTCCTGTACTGGATAAACAAGCGATGCCAATATGGCATGAGTGCAGCTATCAACACAGGCCCTCCCTGGGCTGTTACCAGCGCCCGCCTGCTCCTTGATCACGAGCCACTCAGAGCTTTGTAGATTCTGGGCAAAATTCATGTACTCCACTAGGCTCTGAATCCCAAATAATCTCTGAATCCCACGAGAACTCAACGGGAACTCAAGGAGCAGGCAGGCCCTTGAGGCAGCAGGATACGCCCTATTCCCAGCAGGGTACACCTTAAACCTGGAACCTCCCTAAACTCAAGGAGCGGGATACTCCCTAATACCAGCAGGATACACCCTAAACCTGGATCCGCCCTGGTCCTTGAGCAAGGTCACCTTACTCAAGCATACATGCAATGTCACTGCAAATGACCTGGGTCCAAAGGCAAGCCCATTTCCACAATGGAGAGTCCTTCCTCTAAGCAACATGGAGTAGGCTGACAAAGAAATTGCCATGCATCATTCCTACTTGGCAATGGCTCTCAGCAAGCAGCCCCAAGGCAGAGGCATCTGATCCCCTCCAACCTGCTCTGGTGGTTCCACAGCAGCCTCTTTCTAACTGGATGCCACAGCACAGGACCAGATCTCCATTCCCAATTATGTTTCAGGAGATACCTTTTGCCCCACCCCTTCACAATCAACCTCCAATGCTGAACCACTCTGCCTGCTACTCATTTGCCATATGTATCAAAAGTAATGTCCACTTCTATTCCCTTCCCACACTGACCCATGGAGTGAACTGTTTCAATGCAAAGCCTTTTGCTTCAGAGCTATAGCCTCCTCACTGACGGTGGGAGCTTTAGGTGCCAGGGGTATTAGAAATGGGAGCTAACCTCAGGAAAGTAATATTGACACAGAGATCAGAGCCCATTTAGATGTTACATTATTAAAGATTTTTGAAAAGTTACTCTTTTGTGTCTCATTTGCCTTAGGAGGACAGTATCCTTCCCCTGTTTGATGGGGGCACAAGTCTCATCAATACAGTGAGAATTGGAGGTTGTCTTTGAAGAGACACATTGAACCAATATTTGCAGATGAGCTCAAATCCCTCCATCCAGTATTTATTGTGTGCAAGCCCTGGGCTAGGTCTTCAAAGGCACTGCTGTTCTGCAGGATGGGAAATACAATTGCCACAGAGTGACAGGTGCTGAGGGCACACTGCTATGGTAGTGGCTATGCCACCTTCTAATACAAGAATACTGCAAAATGGCTGTTATGATTCTTCTCATACTGATGAAGAGACAAGATCCAAGGGCATATATCATTATCTTTTCTTTTTGTTGATGAGCTAATTGCCCAATTTACATCTGCCTAACATTAAAGTTCTTGGTCTTTCCACCTTACCCCATGGTATCCCTTCCCTAATCATGTCTTGTTAAAACATACTTGGTGAATGCGTTAGTGTGTGTAGAGTGTCATCAACTTGGTCTACAAAGTGGCTTAGAGGAAGGGCTGGTGAGTACCTCCTAAAATTATACACATAAAAATATCTATATCATGTATCTTAAGAAATCCATGGTTGCCCAAA